CCGGTGAGACACGGCAGTGGGTGCTGGCAAGACGTGGTGGGTGCTGCATCCTCCCAGTACCTCCTCATCCTCTCTTTTGGGATTTTTTTTCCGCTGCAGAGGCAGGCGGGCACCACGGGCGGGGGGACACCGGAGCTGAGTGCTCACACACTCTCCGAGCAGCTGAGGGAGAAAGAGGAGAAGATCCTGGCCCTGGAGGCTGACATGACCAAGTGGGAGCAGAAGTACCTGGAGGAGTGCACCATGCGGCAGTTTGCCATGGATGCGGCAGCCACCGCAGCCGCCCAGCGGGACACCACCCTCATCAGCCATTCCCCGCGGCATTCCCCCAACAGCAGCTTCAACGAGGACCTCCTCCTGGCCAGCCACAAGCACCAGGAGATGGAGAACAGGTAGGCCCACCTCGCCGGCAAGCTTGCGCCATGGTCTGGCCAGGCAGTGCCTGCATCCTCCTCCCCTACCTCCGGCTCCTCTCCCAGCTTCTGCCTCTTCTCCTCTCCAGGTTAAAAGTCCTTCACGCCCAAATCCTGGAGAAGGACGCTGTCATCAAGGTCCTGCAGCAGCGCTCACGGAGGGACCCCAGCAAAGCCCTCCAGGGCTCCCTGCGGCCAGCCAAGTCCGTGCCCTCCGTCTTCGCCGCCTCCGCCGCCCCGAGCTGGCCAGGGGCTGGCCAGAGTGACCGGTTGGCCGAGGGCAGCTCCCTGAGCAGCACAGGTAAATAGAGGCAGCTGCCCGTTCCCTGCCTTTGCTTGGTGGCAGGGAGTTGCCTGCAATTTCCCCTGCTGTTTTGGAAGTAGAGGGACTGGGGAGGGGGGTTTTCTCCAGTGAGCCATAGGGACCGTCCGGAGGAGCTGGCAATCCCTAACGGTGTCTCCTCCAGCAGGCAAAGCCACTGCCGAAGGGACAGCAGCACCCGCTGCCCTCCCCCTGCCCTCCCACTCCAAGCATGGCAGCAAGGATGGCAGCACGCAGACGGATGGGGTGGCCGAGAGCAGCGGCCAGGGTGAGGCCACTGAGTGCCAGGCCGGTTTGCTGGGTGAGTCCCCTGGGGATGGCACGGGGGAGAGCTGGGGATGCTCCAGCACATGGGCTTGGCATCCAGGAGACGGGCTTTGCACAAGCATTGATGATTTTTTAAGGCATTTTAAAGGCCCCAGTTGAGTCTGGTGGGTTTGAATCCCTGCAATCACTCATTGCTTTTTTATTTTTAAGGTGCAGAGCTTTTTTTCTTGAACACCTTGGGGGGAGGCTGGACCAGCGGTATGCTTGCTGCCGGCCCTTTGGTGGGGTGGGCACCGTGCCGATGCTCTTCACCTCTCCTCCAGCTCTCACCTTCTTTCTCTGTAGAGAGCTCGGCCGCTGCCAGAGCCCTGGACCTGTCTGACATGGTGGAGATCCTGATTTAAGGCCACCCAGGGGCTGCACACTGGCCCCTCTGCCCTCCCTGCCTGCTGCACAGGCAGAGCTGCCCTGCCTGCACCTGCCCGGGACAGAGGAGCCTGCGGGAAGGAGGACCGAGCCTGGAGCTCAGCGGCGTCCCCGCGGCTGGTGGCTGGAGGGCCACCATCCCCGCTCAGCACCTGCATGGGTCCCCAGCTGTGTGGGGAGCGCTGGAGCCCCGGGACCCCGCAAGCGGCGGCGGGGGCTCGCGACCCTTCTGTAAATACACTTGGGTTTTGTACGACGGAAGCAAATGTATTTATCGTTTCTGCCTCTTCTCCTTCCCGAGTTGGGGGGTTTCTTCCCATCCTCTTCCTTGTTGGCTCCATCCTCATCGCGGCTCCAATCCCATCCCACTCCTGGGTCTTGGTCATCCACATCCACTGAAGCGCTTGGACTCCAACTGGAATTTCCCGCTCTGCTCGCCCGAACTGTACCCACAAGCTGATGTCTCTGTGCGAGGGCAGAGCCGGGAGGGATCCTCCGTAGGTCCCATTGACTGCCCAGATCCACGTGGCCAAGCCGAGCACCGGGAGCCCCAAACCTCCATCATCTGCATCTTGCCTCTAGGTTTTCAGCACAGGGTGGTAGTGAAGCAAGAGAGAAAATGGTAATCGAGGGAATGAAAGGCGGAGGAGAAATCCCCTTGAAGCCAGAGGTGAAACACTCGGAGTGAACTGAGGACGGCTGATGGAGGCAGTGGGACGTGCTGCCCCTCTTGTGGCTTCATCCCACCGCCACATCCCCTGGCTACTGGCAGCTGGCTTCTGCCCATAGCCAGCGCTGACATCTCGCTCCTCTGAGCTCGGACACTTCCCGTCCTTGCCCTTCGTGTATGTGTATATATATGTATTTTTTTTCTTTCTTCTTTAAACGTGTGCATTTGCTGGACAACTGCATTTTTTATTTTTCTCTCCCAGACACGTAAAAAATGCGTTCGGTTCTCGTGCATTGTTTACAAGGTGGAAAACAAACAAACAAAAAATTATGAAAGAGGAAAAAAAAACCCCACAACTTAATATATTTTATATTAATATTGGTATTTCTTTTTAAGTATTTTTTTTCGTGCTGTGAACTTTTTTTTTCCCCTGCCAAAGACGATGAGTTCTTGTTTGTGCGTTTTAAGTTATCTTAAGTATTTAAACGTAAACCTGGCTGTTTCGTTATGCCGCCCTATACCGAGATTGCTGTAGCATTCCACTTGGTATAACAATATTTTAATAAAAAAAACCCAAATATTGATCCACGGGCACTCTTTTTTCCCATGTGATGGGGTGAGACGGAGGCGCCACCAGGGGGAAGGGGTCTAGGGGTGGTGACCCCCTGGCTGAAACATTGCCCTTCCCAGCTCCACAGGGCAGCAATTTGGGAGAATAAATGGTCAAGAGCATCTCTGCATTCCCCAAAATCCCATTGGGATCCCATTTCCCTCACCTCGATTGGGGGAAAAGGATGGAGTTGCCTAGAAATGTCGATGTAGTTTCCTTCCTGCAGGTAGTGCTCTGGTAAGTCCATCCTGGTGGGATCCTCCTCCTCTTCCTCACAAGACCCGTTCCTGCCCTTCTAAGTCCCCCCTGCAGGGACTCCTCAATAGCATCTCCAAGCACAGCTGGACCTTCCTGGTCCCCAACCTCCCCCATGGCTTTGCAGCCACCTCCAAGCCCTTCCCACCCTGCTCAGCTCCTTGGTCTTCTGGAAGACCAGAAGTTCTCCTGGTGTTCAAGCTAGGGTTGCCTTAAGTCTTCCACAGCCACGCCGTGCTGCTCCCCAGCCCTTCCCCTCTGAGCTTCTTCCTCACTGCTGTCATTTGACTCTTATTTTTAATAGTTGTCACATTAATGCTTCCAGGGAGCATCCCTGGGGACTCTGCTCTGGCTGCTTGGGTGCTGGCAGCCTGGCTGGAGCCATCACCAGCCGGGCTGGGGCCTTCCCTTCTGTGCAACACTTGGCATTTATTGGCAGTGCATTTTTTTTTTTTTTTTTTTTTTTTTTTTGTCTGGGACCAGGAGATCTTGTGCAAGTCTCTGCAATGGGGTTTAGCTCAGATTATGCAGAACAATGGCATAAGAAACCAGCTTTGCTGCCAACTCCTCCCTGGAAGGTGGCTTAGGACTCCATTGCAGATCACTGATCTTGGTGGGACTGCGATGCTGAATGCCGGCTTAGCTCTACCCTTCCCACCCAGGAACCTAGAAGGAGCGTGGCTGAAAATTTGGCGCTTCCTGTGGCTGTGGAACAGGTCTACAGCCCTGCAAGAACAGGTTAGAGAGACTCAGAGCAATGGGAAGCTCGGAGCCGGGCTCCTCCTTCCACGCATGGCTTCTCCTGGGTTTTGCAAGCAGGGAAACAAGCTCCCCCCGTGCACAGGGCATGTCTGAAGGGAACCCTTCTGCCCTCCCCAAAACAGGGCCAGCGATGGGGAGGACTGGGTGGGAAGCTCACAGGGAGCTGCTGCTGCTGGGAATATGTCAGGGGGTCCCGGCGACCCCCAGCCAGGGGCCATACCTGCCCTGCCTCCCCCAGCTTCTGCTGTCCCAGAGCTGCAGGCAGCCGCCGGGGAAGGCTTGCAGCATTCCTGGCATACCGCAGCTCTCACGCCCCACGCTTTATTTACCCAAATCCGGATGTGGAGCGGCCTTGTGGCATGTCTGGCTGTTTGCAGGCAGCTTTCCGGGTGCAGGGATTCAGGGAATGAGCTCCTGTTGAGAGCTTTGCCCACTGCTTGGCCATCCTCTGTCCTGCCCATTGCCCTCTGGACCCCCATCCCCAGGGCTTTCACAGTCTCAGGGAGCCAGAAAACAGGGGAGCACAGCCCTGTATGAGTGAGGTGGCAGAGAAGCGTAAAAAAATGGGAAGGGAAAGGAAAACCCCAAAGCCCATCTGTGAATGTGGGAGTCGGGCTGTGGGGAGAGGATGCCCAAGCCTGGCAGGTTGGGGCAGGAGGTCACGGCTCCTCCTGTTACGCCCCCAAGGATGCGACAGCAGTGCCCAGATTCATTTGTTTTGGTAGGGTTGCTTTTCAGCCAGAACAACAGTCTGATGGATCCTTGCATCCTTACACCTCTGTGTCCCTCTGTCCCCATGACCCTAAGATGGGGTGGCTGGAGATGTCTGCGGAGCTGCTGGCTGGGCTCGCGCCTGGATGCAACACCTTCTGTGGGCTGCACATCCACAGCCCTGGAGAGATGGAAAAGGGCCAGCGGGCTCTGCTCTGAATGCCACCACTGTCACCCTGGCGGCTTTGAATGAGACACCCTGTCCCAGGGCAGCAGCTCTCTCGCGGGTGAAAGGGAGGTGGCTTGTCTGGCCTGGGGGCTGTTCGGTGTGGGATGGTCCCTCCCGTGGTCACCGCTGGTCAGGACAAGGCTGAGGATCTTGTTGGGGCCCCGTGGCTGTCCACTAAATCCCATTCCCATGCAGCTGGGGCAGGGGTGCAGGATGCTGCCTGTGCTCCTCGGTTTCTGTCCCCAGGGATTGGAAGACGTGTGTCCAGGAACAATGCAGGCAGCCAGGAGCCGAGGGGAGCATGAGAGCAGCCTGCCCATCCAGCCCTTGCAGGCAGCAGGCAGCATCCCATTCCCAGCCAGGAGCACCTCATTCCCCTGGTGCCACACCACAGCAGCATCTCTGCAGCTTTGGTTCCTGCTTTTCCTCATTCCTCCTTAGAGCCTGGAGGTTGGAGCTTGGTTTTTGGAGCATCCTTGGAGCTTGGCAGATCCTTCATTGGCCCTCGTCCCTCCTCGTCCTCTCCTCCTGCATCTCTTCTCCTTTTCCACTTGCCAAATGTAAGAGCTGGACGGTGAAAGACAAGCTCATCACAACAACCTTATGATGGAAAACAGCTCTTTGAAAAACCAAAAAATCCCCACCAGGATTTGGGAGAAAGGGAATTTCACTCCCCTTCCAAATAATCCCGATTCTTGTAGGGGAAGGTTGGTGATGCTGTGGGCCAGCCCCGGAGCTGGCTTCCCAGCAAACCAGTCAGGCAAACCGCAGTGCTTTCTCCTGCCTCAAGTCCCAACTTGCTCCTCAGGCCGGCAGGAATGAAGCTC